AAGGTATTCTCTGCAATCGGATTGAAACTCAATGGCAAAACTTTTCTGCTTCAGGGCGATATTTCGAGTGGGGAAAAATAGCCATTACATATGGTCCAATACAATTTGGAAAACCTGAATCACATAAAACAATCAAAGGTGAAAAGCATGCTAAAATGAATTAAAATGAAACACACAAATTAAGCTTAGATGGTAGTGTTAGTAACAAATCTAGACATTTTTCTACAATATTTCAGAGTTCAGATCATTTGGGATACCTTCTGTGGTGAAAACAGTAGAAATTTTTTCAATACATGCCCTTTTTCATTACTTAAATTGTAGTAATTCCATGTTGTAAACGTCTGTTGCTCTTTCGCAAGTGGTTAAGTGTGTTCTTAACATTTTAAATTTATCAAAGCATCTTCTTTTCTGACATTTCCTACGTTTACTTTTATTTTGCCTTCTACTTTCCATGTTAAGTTTGGCTCAGTCGTGTCTGTAACGAGAGGTCAGGAGTAAGCGAGAGAGCAATTAAGTCAGGCAACCCCACAGGCAGAGTCTCCCCAAGAGGCATGATAGGTGTGAAGTGAGATCTTTTAAGAAAGTCCTACACCCATGCCATTCCTTAAGGATGAGGATACGGAAACACAGGACTCTCACGTTTTCTGTTCGCGTACGATTTTTCGTGCATGGCTTTTTCGTACACAACAAAATTTCGCTTCAAATTGGGATGTTAATTCTTTCAATGTTACAAACAAACTACAAAGCTTGGCGCATCAGAGCGGTGTAAGGAGCGCCACTATTTCTTTTTCTTTGCCTGCCCAAAGTCTGGCTCTCTTCTCAGTGTCTGGCTATTTCCGATGCCAAACCAACAATCTGCTCATTTTTTAGTAATATGAAGGAACTGAGGCAGTTCGGCAACGTGGGACATTTTGCAGTGTTGCTACTTGCCATCGATGTGTCGACCCACCTAGAGAGCCTTTTGTTGAACTGACAGATGGCCTTGGCGACTCGACGAGTTTGCTCCAGCTTCACAAGAGCTCACAGATTCCACCAGGATGAGATGTGTAAACCGAAACCAGCGAAGCAACGAATGTGTGTCCCTCCCTACATTCTCCCACCCCCCCCTTCCGCCATCGCTGAAGTGCGCCAAAGAATGATCAGACCTCAGATTCTCCATGAAAAGGTTCATCTCTCCTTCATATTCATGATGGATCTTGGGCTCCTCAAAACTGATACCTCTTTACATCCCTGAGGAGGAAAAATTCGCTGTTTCGGCATCCAAAGGTGTCGACGAGCTTTTTGAATGCACCAAAAATGTGAGCCTCATGGCAGCCCCCTTGATACATACATATAAGCATTTTTGCTATGAAATACGTGCGTAGTCCAGTGTAGCATGTCGCTAGCTTAATTAGTGTCTTGCGAGATTGTTAATTCAACAGAGCACACCCTTTCTCACTGAATCGTTGTCTGCAAGGGTCTCAACATGTCTCAAAGGGTCAGATCGAGATAGATGTTCGTCCTTCGAAGTGCACCATCGACTATTTGTTGCAACATCAAGAAAGTAAAATGTAGAAACTGGTAAAGAACTCGCTGGACAGGAAAAGTTATGCATGAAAAGCCTCCCGACGAATAGTTTTGACCGCAACACGATATACATTTTACTACAGTGTAGAGATCTGTTAGGAAAAGGACGCAAATGCATGCGCGCAGCAGCAAGATATGGTCGCGAGTAACCGGTTGGTTGTTCTTTATGAAACTGACTAGTATTGGGTTGGCACACAAGTAAATTGGTCCATGGGCAAAAAATAGTCGAAACATTCTTTGGCCTTCTCTCTTCTTGCACCTCGGCATCTTAGGCTGCGTTTATACTTTGCGGCAGCGCGTAGCGCTTCCAGCGTACGCCAGCGGCAGTGCCGGGGAGAGGATGCATATCGATCTAGCGTTCCCAGCGTCACCAGCGTTTTGCTAGCGTTTGCAGCGGCAGGGGAGTAGAGACTATGGGAGAGCTGGAGGGTACAAAACACATCGATTGCGCGTCTCTCACTCGCCCTCAGTCTCTACTATACACATCGATTGCGCGTCTCTGACGGCCACATAGTCTCTACAATACACATCGATTGCGCGTCTCTTACGGCCACATAGTCTCTACTCCCCTGCCGCTGCAAACGCCAGCAAAACGCTGGTGAAACGCTGGCGTAAACGCTAGCATTACGCTGGTGAAACGCTGGCGTAACGCTAGCGTAGCGCTTAACATTACGCTGGTTGACGCACGGAACGCGAGAGTTGATATCCATCTCTCCCGGCACCTGCCGCGTGGCGCGTTACGCGTGGAAGCGCTACGTACGCGCCGCAATTGTATAAACGCAGCCTCAGAATTGCCGTCTTTTCAGTTGTTTGTGCATCACGAGCTTGATAGTTTGAACATTCACCAATTGGCCTAACGTTTCGATTCAATCGTCGTTTTCAGAGCTTTGACCTATTCCAGGTTTTAAGTTTGCAATCTAGTCTACAGAGCGCCTCGCCGAATCCAGCGTTGCGACCTAGGGTCAGGAACCCCTCGAGAAGCCAATACCGCAAGAAACAGACTCACCACTTGTTCCACCGTCCACTACATCAGAGCGGTTAGAAGGAAAGGAAGATTACCACATTGTTGTCAATTTAACAATTGACACATTGAGAGACGCACGTCCGCTCACTCAATTTACATTTTTCCGTGGGGTATGAAAGGTAGTAGGTCACTTGTGGTGGAAGGACTCGTCTCGATGGTTCATTCTGGATTTCTGGTGAATATCCAGAATGCTTCTAACCTTTTCTAGCTGAACATTCCATCTCAATTGTCACCACAGTACACTTTATTTCGAAATTCCATTCCATTATGTCGCGCAACCTTATGCTCCCAAGAGCAGTTGTAAGAGCACCATGTCACATGCTGGCAAGGTGTTCCTTGACATGAATAGCCAGAATCCTTCATCTGTTATATTTACCAACTGTACCAATCGCCCTACAACTGAGCCCGCTATGCTCCTTTTGTTGCAGCGCTGACCTTATCAGATGTAAAGGGGATGCACAAAGGTATCTTGTTCCGAAACGGTCCTTCTTGTAGCCAATATGTCGTCTTCGTTGAGGGTTTGGTGCCGTATAGCCATTCATAGCGGCTATTTTTGTGGCTAGCTCTCGTGATTTTCGTTCTGCATCACACTCCCGTCACCGTTCGGAACATGTTACGGACTTCACTGCAATCGGGTGTGCTGATATAGCGTGCAGCAGATGTTTTTCGAGCTGCTTTTACGGTACCATTTTACCCGAGTGATGCCATTGGATACCTTGACTTGCGTGTTGAGAAATGGTAGCCAAACCGTTTTGCGGGGTTTCTCAGGTGCAAGACGCTGATCCATGGCGGGCCGTCTGATATGAGAGTAGAATGAACCTCCCCATTCTAAGATGTTGCAGCTCAAACATTTCTTGATTAGGTCATTCATCACCTTTATCAACTGCGCTTCATTAACTATTAGGTTGTCCGGAAAGTTTTGAGAAAATTTCACACTTTTAGTTTGAAGAAGTGTAGCAAGCGAATGCCCCAACAGAAAGTCATATATCAAGTGCTATGAGAAAGAGAAATGTTTGTAGATCAATACTAATGCTGGTTGTTATTATTCTCCATTGTTGGTATGATTTGACATTACCTGAAAAATGTACGAGCGCGCACGACTCCCAACGCCTTTTACTTCATCTTCACCGTTCTGGCTCCTCTATCGGTCAAATCGGGAATGAGGAACCGTCTCCGATGCTGGATAAATGCGCTTCAAAATTATCTATACTAGGAGATCAATCGGTCTCTTCCATGGAAGTTTAGCTTAGATGTTGCGTACGCCCCCTCATTCTCAGTACTCGCTTAGTTCTAGCTCCCACGCAAGGTAATCCCGCCCAAAAGGTAAGGGACATAGGATGGACAATATTTATTATAACTATGAACTACTATCTCTTATTGTTGTTGATAAGTGTTGGATGAGCTGGTTGAAATTTCTCAAAACTTTCCGGACACCCTAATACAAGGTTCGTATATCAGCAATATGCCTGTCTAGCGTTTCGGATAATGCCTGCAGGACTTGCTCGTTTTGGACATTAGTGTAAAGCGATTCCAGCACCGGTTCCTTCTGTTCTACCGAAGCAGACTGCGAGCACTGGTGCAAGACGCTGGCCGATTGCGACCCTCCTGAAATGAGATTAGCATGCGCCTTCCCATTGAAGATGTCACAGTTCGAAAATTCCTTCATTAAAGTCGTTATGTGCGCTTTTGTCAAATACAAAGTTCCGTATATCAGCAATATGCCTCTAACATATCGGATAATGCTCTCAGAGGGGACCATGAATAAAAGTTGACTGACGATTGGTGCTTGAGAAACCATGATATTCGGTTGGTAGGGCCACCCACTCAGCTTATGATAGGATGGATCTTATACGTACCCACTTGTATGATAGTTGTGAAATTTTATTTTTTTTAATTGGAACAAACGCCATTGCTTATGGGTCAACTCAATTTTGCCACATTTCCTCTCTCTCACTGACACGAAGCATCGCTGTATTAGCAAGCAAGTTGCTTCGTATACATTTTTGGGGCTTTCTGTTTGCCACTACTTGTTTTCTCAGTTACGGCTTAAATCAAAACGAATTGGAACCTAGGTGACTTATGTGTGCCAGTGTTTGGTACCGATCGGCTCAGGCAATCGATCACAACTACCGATACTGAAGTCACGACCACCTGCGACTGCGCGCACATGGATGAATTTGGGCTCTGCTTTATCTATGCACAATCCATGGAGTTTACACACACCTGTCGTCGACGGCACTGTGGTTGAATGTCGCAGGCGATTCCATTGAAACTGATGTCGACCCTTTGGCTGTTGAAGTTATTGCTGTCGTGGTGCTCGTTGCAGCTTCGGTCGTGGAAGTCGAATGCGAAGATTCCGTAGTTGTCGAAGCCGATGCCGTACTAGATGGTAGTGTGTTTGTCGGCAGTGAGCGACGTATATATGTCGCGGGGTTTTTCTGTTGTAGTGGGGTTTGTTGGGGATGCCGACGTCGGTATCGTTAATGTAGTGGTCGCAGACGTAGAAGTATGTCTTGCAGCTTGCAGTTGTCGAAACCGATGCCCCGTTATCTGGATCGGGTGGTGTGCTCCTGTCGAAGTAGCGCGAGATGTAAATGTCTGGGCGTTTATCTCGTTGTAGTGGGGTCTGTGGGGACGTGCCGACGTCGTATCGTTAATGTGTTGTCGCCAGACGTAGGAAGTATGTTCTTGCAGCTGCAGTTTGTTCGAACCGATGCGTACTGGATGTGGTTGCTGCTTTTGTCGAAGGGAGCGGAGTAAATGTCGGGGTTTCTGTTGTAGTGGGGTTTGTTGGGGATGCCGACGTCGGTATCGTTAATGTAGTGGTCGCAGACGCTAAGAAGTAATTGTTTTGCCAGTTGCACGTTTCGAAACCGATGCCGTACTGGTGGTGGTGCTGTTGTCGAAGGGAGCGGAGTAAATGTCGGGGTTTCTGTTGTAGTGGGGTTTGTTGGGGATGCCGACGTCGGTATCGTTAATGTAGTGGTCGCAGACGTAGAAGTATGTTTTGCAGTTGCAGTTGTCGAAACCGATGCCGTACTGGATGGTAGGTGTGCTTGCGAAGGAGCGGAGTAAATGGTCGGGAGGTATCTGTTGTACGTTGGGGTATTGTTGGGGATGCGACCGTCGGCTATCGTATGTAAGTGGTCGCAGACGTAGACGTTGAAATATGTTCTGTAGTTGTCGAAGCCGATGCCGTACTGGATGGTGGTGTGCTTGTCGGAGGAGCGGTGTAATTGTCGGGGTTTCTGTTCTAGTGGGGTTTGTTGGGATGCCGACGTCGGTGTCGTTAATGTAGTAGTCGTAGACGTTGAAATATGTTCTGTAGTTGTCGAAGCCGATGCCGTACTGGATGGTGGTGTGCTTGTCGGAGGGAGCGGTGTAATTGTCGGGGTTTCTGTTCTAGTGGGGTTTGTTGGGATGCCGACGTCGATGTCGTTAATGTGGTAACCGAAGGGGGTTCTGTAGATGCCGAAACCACTGCAGTACTGAAGCTTATTGGAACATAGCTCGTAGAAGTCAAAGCAGGCTGTGTAGCCGTCGACACCGGTACTGTACTGGGACTCGTCGGAAATTCGCTGATCGGAGTCGAAGCAGGCTGCTCAGTTATCACAGTCGCTGCAGTAGAGCTGTTTGTGAGAACTGCAGCCGTCGAAGTCGTCAACGTAGCTGTTGAGATGGATGCTGTTGTTGTCAAGGCCTGTGCTGTAGCAGTGCTCGCTAGTGCTGTTGCGGGTGACGTTGTCGGTGCCGTTGTCGATAGAGAATGTAGTGTAGTGGCATTCACGGGGGTTGTGACTAGCGATGTCAGTACTGATGTTGTTGATACTGGCACCACTTTTGTCGGTGTTGCCACGGTCGCTGTGCGTGTTGGAGCTGTACTCGCTGAAGATGGCAATGACGACGTCGATGGGTGTAATGCCACCGTACTTGTTGGAGCTTTTGTAGTCGTCTTCTCGGCTTCGTGACCTGAAGAAAAAGCAATTATATAATAGCTCTCGTTCTTCATGCTGGGAAGAAATAGTGGAATTACTTATTTTATTTTAGTAAAGTTGCTTTTATTAGGTTGTTCTTCCCATTCGCTGCGCATTTCGACACTTTGGTCGATTCGAGAGCCTTCACTTCTTATAGCAGTGAAACTGCGGTCTCGTCTAGAATTGATGGGATGCGCTCGTTTGCAGGGTAATAAATGAACATCGCTCTCCCATAATGACCAAAGCTGGTGACAAATAAGACACGTCTTTCTTTTGCGGTGACTGTGATATTTGAGCTTTTCTACTCGCAGGCATTCTACAATACCGCCCCTAATTTTTGCAAAATCGACGGTTTGCGACGGATTAATCCGTCGCAAACCGTCGCATTGCCATAACTTCCGTAGAAGTGGTTGAAATGATCTGAAAATTAGACCAGTCGATAGCCGTGCTCATTGCGAATCTAACAGTGTACAAATCTTCTTAATGTTCTTA